TGAATTGAGTGGGGCTTTAGACTATTTCTGCACAGTTACACAAAGGAATATTTGGTTTACAAAGAGAAAGTACGTTTGATACTTGACACTCCCAATATTGAGATCTCAAAAAACAAATGATCTATGACTTCACTGATACTGAAGATGCCCAGAAAGCTAAGTAGTTTTCAATGTTAGTTAGTACTGTCAGTTTTGAGACTTGTGTTCATGTATGCTGTTGTATTAGAGCTAGGTAATCTTACTACAGCATAATATTAGTAAAGGCCTTTTTTGTTTTACCTTTTACCCTGCAAGAAGCTAATGTTTCTTCTGATCACCTTTGATCACTTGCTTCTAAGCCAGATAATTCAATTGTCAATAAGTGACTATAGATGCCAAGATTGTTGTTACCATTGTTCTGCAGACATGATGTTTGCAGTACCTTAATGGTGAGTAACAAATTTTAAATTTTTGTGGAGTGTTATAAAACTCTCAAATCATGCAAGATCTAAATTTAAAAAATACCTTGAGATTTGGAATAATTAAGATTATAATCCATTTTAAAAGAATGTGAATCGTTTTTTTTAAATCTTGTGTTCTGCATCTTCAGATCCTTACTTTTTAATATTGACCCAATCATAGATATCAAAGGTTCCTGTTTTAACAAATTAACATAGATGAAGAATCCATAACTATATGTAACAAGAAAATCAAGGTAATATGGAAATAAGTCCTACTCAACTCACTGAAACTTATTTGTATTTAATAATTATATTTATTTTGTTTCTAATTTTATATAGGTTTTATCTGCGGTTGTTGAAGTCTTCATCCTTATTTCATATTCTGTTTTAAAGGTTGCATAAAATGAAAGTCTTTAGGTTGCTAAGACGAGCCAAAGAAAATAAACCTAACATTAATCTCTGTGGCTATATCCTTTCCATCCCAAAGGTATAATAGTTGTAACCATCACTGGGAGTAATTATTCAGTGTTTATATAAAGAATTTTAAATAATTAGAACAAGTGTTCTCGCTAAGAATTATAGCTTAGTAATAGGCACATCTTTTTTATGTACAAGTTCAATCCCTTGGTAAACTCCTTTTTAAAAAAAAACAAAACACAAAATCGCTTATACCACCGTTTTAGAAAATACCTAACTGAATCTATAGAGAGCCTCTTTTAGTCTCAGTAAATAGTATATAGGCTGATATTCAACTGCAGATTCAAAGCAGAACAGAATTCCTTTGTATTGTTTTGGGAGGGTTACTTCAGGTTCTCTTTGCTGTTGAAAGCATCCTTTGCTGGGCAATTGGACTTTAGGATTATACACCCTATTACAGCAAGGAAGCAGTCTTTTCTTTTTTTTAAATAGAGGGCAGTTTATCATTTCCTCACAAACTTTTATTCAAGGACCTCTTGACCCTACCTCTTACAGTGAAAATCTTTTTGAGAAGATTGGAACTCAGGTCCTGATGGATGAAGACATGTACCTTCACTAAATATTTTCCTGGCAGTAGCAGAGAAGTTTACATATGCTTACACATTTCCTGTTACATTTAAGGGATGTAGTAGATCCCTTTATCTTTATTATTTGTTGCAGAACTAGAGGCTGTATCTTTCCTGTCTTATTTTTGTAGATTCTTTGGGAAAATTATCCTTTGAAATATCTAATGGTTAAGGTTATTTCTTGATGCTGAGAACTTTTGCAATTATGTTGTCCTGTTTTTAGCTTATAACCATGTATAAGTTACTGAGAGGCCGCTACGTTTGGAGCCATATGTAAGCTTGGTAAAAAAGCTAATATAAATATCCTTAAAGGAATGATGAACATTGACATGAAAATACATTAATAGTCTTACAGATGAATGAAATATAGGCTATACTGTATGTAAAGTTAGTGAAAATAGCGTCATGTTTTGTTATTGTGGCAGTACTCCCAGTTTTGGCAGGGATCTGTTGGTAGTCACAAAGAAAGTAGTTATTTGATGAGGGGCTTAAGATCTGTAATTATGATATGGAAAAGAATCTTGTCTCTGTTTCTTTTTAATGAGGCTGAAGAGATATAACTGAGAGGAATATAATGTTATAAAAGATCTTTATTCCATCTCCTCTTTCAGTTTTCTAAGATTTTGTATTTTTTTTAAATTGTCCCATGTTAAATAGTTGCTACTTAACTCTGCCTATGCTTCTTAATACTACTAGTTCCCTAAGCTTAAGAATAAGCATAGATTTGGAGACCATTTTTATGTTGCCAAGGTCTCTAGGCAAAGAAGTGTTAAAGCTAGCTCCTCCTCTTCTATATAGCTACTTGTAGCTTTTCTGGAGTGATTTATACAGCTAAATTAGGTGACCTTTCAGGTCCCAGATTTTCTGGATTGAACAGATTGTTGTGGTTGTGATCTATTTGGCACAAGGCAAGGTCTCTGTGAACTTATTTGCCTTATAGGTTTGATGTGAAATCTAAATTAGGACTGATAATGAACCTAAATATATTAACTAAGGGCTCTCAAGATGGGAGTTGCAACTAATTTAGAAGGGTTAATATTTTAAAACCAGTGTCCAGGTACATGCACTGTAGGAATACAAAACTTATTCCTGCTTTCCTAGATAAGCTATAGCATAATTGTTGTATAGGCCAAAGAGTAAACCATGCTTGTATAATCCAAGCAGCAAGTGTGTTTTGAAAGATGGCATCTAAATCTAGCTGTCTTTTAAAATAATCTGCCATTCATACCAGCAATTGTCATGGCATACAAAGTTTGAAAATCTCTGCAATGTTAGATACTTAGAGAAGATGGGCTCATATCAGGCTAGAATTTAGAGACTAATCAAAATAAGTAGGAACCCATAGCTTGACTATTTGCAAAAATAACCTTTGATTTATATGAATGAAAAGATAGGGCTAGAGGGAAGATAAGAATTTTTTTTGAAGGTGGAGCAGAGAATTCTAAATAGAAAAGGCATACATAGTCAGGAGTGGTAGGAATGAGCAAGGCTGAAGGTCAAATATGTTGATGAAATAAATAGCAAAGCATTTGACTTCAACCTAAAAACACAATACATTACAAAAAATGTAAATCTTATGACATATCTATCTATCTATCTATCTATCTATCTATCTATCTATCTATCTATCTATCTATCTATCTATCTAT